AAAGAATAAAATAAAAGAGAGTATAAAGAGAGAAGACAAACAGAAAGTAAAAATAATCTCATGGAATGTAGCAGGTTTAGAGAACAAGAAAGAAGACTTTTGGAAGTACGTAGAGGGATTTGACAAAGTAGTATTACAAGAAACATGGCTAGACAAAGAAGGATGGAGCAAAAAGGAATAGGAGATGTCAAGGCAATTCAGATGGAAAGTACAGAACGCAAAGAAGGATAAAATCATGGGAAATAAGGGAGAAATTCACAGGGACGAGAAAAGGAATAACCGTAATAGAAGAAAGAATAGACATAGAGGGAATAATGGAGAGCAAATTCAAAGTAAAGGGAAAAATATGGAAAATGATATCCGTATATAACAGAGGAGGAGATAAAGACAAGCTGAAAGAAATAAAGGAGAGAGTAGAAGAAGAGATAGAAGGAAATATACTGATGATGGGAGACTTCAATGCAAGAACAGGTAATAGAGGCAGCATAGTGTGGAATGGAGAAGAAGAAGAGAGAAAATCGAANGACAGGAAGATAAACATACAAGGAGAAGAGTTGCTAACGATGGTTGAAGAAANAGGAATGGGAATACTGAACGGAAACAAGGAAGGAGATGAAGAAANAGAATGGACATTCATTGGGAAGATGGGAAGCTCGGTAGTAGATTACGCGATAACAAGCGCAGAAACATGGCAGAAAATAGAAAGCTTTAAGATAGGGGAAAGGACGGAATCGGACCACCAACCAATGGAAATAGTAATACAAGAAAAAATGCAGAGAGAAGAAGAAGAAGAAGATACAGAAAGAGAGATTGAAGACTGGTCGGAAGAAGGGGTAAAAAAGTACAAAGAAAAACTTGAAAATATAGAATTCTGTAAAGAAGAAGTGCAGGAGAGTATGAAGGAACTAATCGAAAAAGTAAAGGAGGCGATAAGCAAAAAGAAAATTACAGTGAAAAAATGGAGAGCAGGCAGAAAGAGATGGTGGAACAGGGAATGCAGATTGAGCAAAATAGAGGTAAACAAAAAGCTAAGAAAGTACAAAGAAGGAAAAGTAAAAAGAGCAAAATATATAGAGGAGAAAAGAAAACATAAAGAGGTATGTAAAGAGAACGAAGAAAAATATAGGAGGGAAGAGATAACTAAGATCATGAATTTAAAGGGCGAGAACGAGATATGGAAATACATACAGAAAGAGAGGGNAAAGAGAAGTAATATGGACGAAGGAATAGCAAAAGAAGAGTGGAAACAGCACTTTATGAACTTATTAGAAGGGAAAGAAAATAAAGAAAGGGAAGAACCAGAGGAAAAAAGAAGAGCAAAAATAGAAGAGATTNGAGAGGAGGAAGTGGAAGAAGCTATTAAGAAATTGAAGAAAAAGAAAAGTGCAGGAATAGATGGAATCAGAAATGAAGCATGGAAATATGCTAGTGATAAGGTGAAAGAAAGATTGAGGGAAATTTTGAATAAGATATGGAAAGAAGAAGGATGGCCAGAAGAATGGAAAGAAGGAATAATATGCCCAATATTTAAGAAAGGAGACAAGATGAAAGCAGGGAACTATAGAGGAGTGACGCTGATGTGCACATCGTACAAGATATACGCGATGATAGTAGAAAAGAGATTAAGAGAGGAAGTAGAAAGGATAGAGATATTACCAGAAACACAGGCAGGATTCAGAAAAGGAAGGAGTGGAATTGATAACATCTATATACTGAAGACAGCGATAGAAAAGGCAATTAATAAAAAAGAAGGAAAGCTCTTTGTTTTCTTTATGGACTTGAAAGCGGCATTTGATAAAGTAAAAAGGGAGAAGGTATGGAAAGTTTTGAGG